AGAATATCCTTTTTTGGAGGACAAAACATTTATCCTCCTTTCTGACTGGTTGTTTTTTTAACTTCTCCATTTAGAACTTTGGTGATATCCTCCCACCGCTCCCCACTCCCTCTCATCTACACGACCCCTTTTAAAGATGGCACAGTTAGATAATAGAGCTGCCTCCTGAACCAGGTCCAGGACAAGCATGAACTCAAAACAAGGGCCGCCTTCACGGGTGAAATAGTACACCAGTGAAACCCAGGGTCGGAGTTTCACTCACTCTTAGTTACCCAGAAAAGTTGCTGTAAGAAAACAAAATAAATGAAACACTATGGGTCCTTCCTTCTTTTTAGACTGGCTCAGGGCCATGGTGATAAGCGACCCCTTATTGTAAGAGTGTCTAACTGACTCAATTGCGAGTGTTTTCACTAGTTCAAAGATAAAATCCAATGAAAACAAAAATACTGAATAAAAATAATGTAATTCAAGCATAAGTCATAGCCTCACTTCACTATATTTGTCCAAAGACGCAAACTCCTGAATGAGTGATTTCGTCACAGCCTTTCTGAGCATGAATTAGCACTTCAGCATCAAGTAAAATGGAAAGGAAGCTTGGAGCTGTGGCAGCAGCAGTTAAACAAGACCTAAATTTTATCTGGTTTGGTAAAGTAACCTTTAAAATTCAAAGGATGGTGGCAAAAAGCATAATCTTTTTTTTGCAGTGTATTCTCTAGAATAGTTATGAGGGTAACTACAGCTTAGCGGATAGAGTTAGTGACATTGGAAACAGGTGGCTCCAAATGATAACTGCCACTTACTAGCTGTATGTCCTTTGTGTTAACTTAGCTGAGACTCAGTTTCCTCCTCTGTACAGTGGGGAGAATAAACATAATAACTACTCTATAAGATTGCTATGAGAATTAAATTTTTGAAGTATATATATAGAGTACTTAGTAAAATTATGAGCATATAGTATATGTTCAATTATTGACAAAGTGCTTGCCAAGATTATAAGTTCTTTTGCAAATATTGTATGAATGCTTCAATAGTTGAAGTCATTCTCCTTATCCCCTCCCATTTTCTTCAGTGGAAATGTTGGTTTATGTGTCCATTCTAAGTAAACAACATAGTTCATGTTTCAACGTTGCCGAGAACTGTGGACATTATCTGGCCAGGGACTCATTTGGGAACCATGAAAAAGTTCTTTGGAAACAACGTATAATTGAAATTCAAAAAGAAACTCAATTCAAAATCAGACCAGAACATTTTATGAGTCCTCAAAAACAAAAACATAATGACTCAAATTAGCAATCTTGCTTATCATCTAATTTTTACATCATTCATTAAGTTTATAAAAACAAATTTTCAAAACGACAACAGTTTCCACTGTATTTACATGTCCACTTTAAAGCAAAGTTCTTTTTTGGCAAGATGGAGCTTCTCTGTTTTTTTCCTATTGGATCTTTCCCAAGCAAGAAAGAATTTTGTGTAGATCTGAGTCACTTATTAAATTCCCAATTCTGCTCAAGGAGGAAATTGAGGTCAGTGGTTATGAGCCAAGACAGACCTGTTGTCTAAGGTCTTCCTTAAAATTAGGGAGACCTTGGACCTGTTACTTAATCTCTCTAAACTCATTTCCCTTCATTTCAGATGTACTGAAACTAGTATGTAAAGCATTTTAATAGTGCCTGGCACATGGTAAGCACTCTAAAAATGTTGGCTATCACTACTCCATTCAAGATCGATTTCTTAGAACACAGAGTAAATACCTTGATTTTAGGACCACCTATTTCAATTTGAGATCTGTATTATTAAGGAAATAGTTTTGGTTCAGTCCACAACATGGTTTTTAGTTAATTTGTTGAGTAAAGCCCAATTTGAAGAAGACTAGGAAAAGGAAATTGTGTTTCTAACCTGCCATACTTACTTGGGTACCCCTGGCTTGGAAGCTCATTAGAGCCTCAGAAAGAAAAAGAATTTATTAAATCAATTATTGTGCACAGATGAAAGGGCACATCACTTGCTAATTACAGCAGTGGCTAGCACTGATGCAGGCATCTCTTTTATTCCCCTTAGCTTATGGCCCCATTAGCAATTAACAGTGACTGATGTCCTGAAAGGAAGCGTTCTGTCTGCACTGCTGGGTTTTCTCAGGAGGAATTAGAAATGAGATACTTGACAGAGTTTAGCCAGAAAAATAATTAAAACAAAAACAATTTAAAACTACAAGAAACCACCTGTTTTATTTGTGGATAGACTTGCAAAAACCTTAAACAACATCAATACACTCATTGACTTCATTTATTAAGAAAATTTTACTTTGCCTAATTTTGCAACATTATGAAATGTACCAGAAACTATTTTGTTCCATACTAAAAGTGCTTAAACACTTATCTCTTTAGTTAATATTCACAAGTTAAAAGAATCACTTTTTTGGAGGGAAGGTCTCTTATAGAAATGAAATTCCAAACTGGGGAATTAAAACTCCATTGAATTATTTCTCAACAAACAGGTTTCCCTTTTCCTCACTGTGTGCCCATCACAGTATACGGAAGCAACGCCATGGTCTCTCTGGGAGTGAATCAAGATTAGAACTGTACACCAGGGTACCTACATGAAAAGCAAGCCAGCAAACAAAAAAGCAATATTGCTGATATTTGAGGTAGTGACCTAAAAACAATCAAGATGAAGTTGTGTTTTGGTCGAAAGATGTGACTCCATATTCAAGCCCCACCTTTGGTCTGCTCTTGATTGATGGATGCTGGGTAGAAATGTGTCCAGGTAGAGCTGGGATCAAGGTGGCGATGTTCTCTATTTCTGTCACATCTTCTCCCTTGCTCCCTCAAATATCCTCTCTTCTGTCAATCCAGCTAGCTTTCAGAAGTCTCAGTCTCAGTTCATATAATTAAAGCAATGTATGTCCTCCTTCATAAGCACATGTATTTTAGCCTAAATAATTATAGCTAATAGTGATCAAACTCTTCTATTAAAAAAAAAAAATCTAAGCTGAAAATTTTACGTGTATTATCTCATTTAATCCTCACAATCATTCTATGAGGTAGATAAAATTACTACCCTATTTTATCCATTGATAAATTTCAGCCTAAGTATGACAATTAACTTCCCCAAAGTCTCTCAGCTACAAGTGGTCTGATTTCATAGCCTGGGCTTTGAAATAACTATGTTATTGAAAATCTAAATGATCATAGTGTCAGGCATCTTGATAGGTGAGGCCATATTCACGGGGCTTCTCTGCAAATTGAAAGCAACATTCCAGGCTGAAGACTTGAATTCTGCCTTAGTAGTCACCTCTTATACAGGAAAAGTAATTTTATCATGAAACTCGGGTGGTAATTCCAGCTCTGCCTCCCATGACCCTTCAACTTTCTCAGAGAAGCACAGTATAGAGACTTTGTGAGAGAAAGAAAAGAATAAAGGACACATAATAAAGTGTCCAGAATCTCATTCTCTACTTTGTCATAGCGGATTCGCTTATAAGCCAATGTTTCTGTTCTAGCAGGTAGGTTAAACACAGGAGAGGTGCCCATGGCATCATGTCAGACTTGAGGAGGACGAATAAGAACATTTACCATATCCCAAACACCATAAATGTGTGGAAAATCTTTAAAGTGGAAGCCTACTATATAGGAAAAACAAAAAAAGAAATGATACTTTACTCAACTTCAGAAATTCACTGAAACCCAAGACCCTTCAGGCTAATAATATAACTAGATTTTAGAAAGTTAAAGACAAACAAAACAAAAACAAAAACTCTTAGAAGAAAATTAGGATTGTGTGTGTTGTGCATGATTTTTTTTTTTTTTTTTTGGTTGAAAATAAAAGGACAAATTCTTTGGGCCCATTGGCAGAGAATGTTGACTGTTTAGTGGACCAGAAGCCAGGCTCAAAATAGGAAACTGAATGCAATTTAATTTCCTTTCAGCGGGAAGTAGGGAAGAAGCACCAGGCTGTCCTTGACACTCAAGAGAATATCCCCTCTGCTGCACTGCTGGGTGCCTCTTGGAAAAACTCATCATGTGAAATTGATAACCAGAGCGTTCCTGGGCTAGCTGCTGTACCCTCAACCAATCTCCAAAGTGCACTGTCCTTCCAGAGGGTATGGAGGGAAGATCAAATCACACTGCATTTTCAGACAATAGTGGATGATGAAATACAGAGGCCATTTTGGCCGTAAGCTCTCCATGTCTGACAGAGCCACCAGCACCACAGCATCACTGGGGCCTTCAACCTGCCACGAGTTTTAGGAAGTAGCTTCAGGGCCTCTTTCCAAGCTTGAATAGCCATGCCTATCTGTCTAGATGAACACATGTCCTTGGGGAAAACAACTCCATTATGACCTCTACCAACTAAAGGGTAATGGTCTACTCTACTAAGTCATACCACGCCTCACCTTAATGGCACCAGCATCTCAGGGTAAAACAGGAGAGTTTAGATAGAGTCCACTGATTCTTAGACCTTGCCGGCTGCTCCGGAAAGGGGCCTTCACAATGGATATCTTGTTGTTGTATGGACAGAGTCCAGTAAGGGATGTGGGGACACTTCAGGTCTCAAGAGTTCGTTTCCTTAATGGCACTGGAAAGGTGAATTCTGATGACTTCTCTCTGCTGCTGTATCTCCATCTATGGTTTAAGGATAATGGCCCACTGCCTTTCTTTCATGGAGCACAGTTTTTTTCTTTTGTTGTTGATTGCTTATTTCTTTAAACAAAGAGAACAAAATCTGGCTGGGTGCAGGGGCTCATGCCTGTAATCCCAGCACTTTGGGAGGCCAAGGTAGGCAGATCACTTGAGGTCAGGAGTTGGAGACAAACCTGGCCAACATGGCGAAACCCTGTCTTTACTAAAAATACCAAAATTAGCCGGATGTGGTGGTACGCACCTGTAGTCCCAGCTACTTGGGAGGCTGAGGCAGGAGAATTGCTGGAACCCGGGAGGCAGGGGTTGCAATGAGCAAAGATCATGCCACTGCACTCCAGTCTGGGTGACAGAAAAAACAACACAAAACAAAAAACAAACAAGCAAACAAACAAAAAACCAAGGACAAAACCAAAGATTCCTGAGTTTTATGTGTGCTTCTATCCCTTTAGGCTGATTACTGTTACTTGATAGCGTGTAATTTTTATTAAAATCAAGATATTTAGACAATTTAGAAGCAGCTTTATATTTCAGGTTTGGAAGGAGAAAGACAAATGGGCTTCTTTGATGGCCTTTCTACCACTGCAGCAGGAAAATGAGTTCAAGTCATAAAAAAAGATACATTCAGGAGAAAGCACATGTCTTTAGTAACTAGCATCCACGGGTTATATTAGAGGACAAGCAAGCATCCCTCAAGGAAAAACAAACTCTGAGTTGGCATCAGAGAGCATCTCAAGACCTCATTTTTATCATCTACAAAATGAAAATGCCTGATTATGCCTTTTCAAATGCCCATTACAGATCTAAAACACTATTGTCAGTTTAACATTTATAATCTACCATGCACAAGGCACTGTGATAACCGATAACAGAAAAAGATGAAAAAAAAAGCCAAAAAATACAAAATAGGTAAAGGGGTGAGATAAAAAACACAACAGATAAATGGATAAAATTTAAAATGAACAAACTGTCCTCCCTGTCCTTCAGCCCACTGACTACCGGAACAGACCTACGTGTGTATGAATAGACATAATTCACAGATAAGGCATATAGCATATCCAAAGGGATGTGGGGCACCAAGGGAGAAGGTAAAGGCTGGTCTAGGGATGGAGGATGCCCTTGATCATGGCCTTTAAAGACATATAAGATTAAATAAGCTGAGGATGGTAGAGATGCCAAAAACAGTGATGGCAAAAGGGTATTTGGTTAGTTGCATTAGTCATTTTCATTTCGCCCAATAACAATGCTTGATAAATGTTTGTTAACCTACTGGTGGCCAGAAGAGAAGACAACAGGTGAGTAAAATTGAAGAGCTGGAGTGTGAGATTCAAGGTCAAATTCAGAGATAATGGGAATGGAAAATGAAGTTGAAAAATAGCTTTATACCCTAGGGTAAAATGTCACACCCTACAAATGCACCCCTAATAAATACGTGTTGTTGATGTCATTGCTATTAAACTCTGTTTATGGCTGTTTTGTTTCTAATGTTCATTTTTAAAATAAATATTCCAAATATGAAATAGACCATAACCCCATTGTTCGCAGATTAATCCTATAGTGTGTATCACATCTGTCATTGCTACTGACTAAATAAAACAAATTCATAACAAATTTTTATCTCTGATAAAACACAATTATTGCATATTGAATATGAAATCAAAATCAAATCAGTTTCACTTTGGAGGGAGGGCAATCCGACTATGAACTCACCATAGTTCACAGGGACTACATGTCCTTTTCTATAAACACAGGGGGCTGAGTCAGGTGACTTCAAAGGCTCTTCTAGTTCTAATTGGATTATAAGTTGCATATATATATTGGCAATCTGAATTACTGACCAATCACATTTGTATTTCAATATATGGCTTGGATCCGATGCTTGTGATAGAAAGTTCTTAGGAATTCTTAGTGTCTAATTCCTGGGGTGATTAACTTCTCTCACTCACCGGGAATTCATCTAAAGGTATCCCACACTAAGGACATGGAAGAGCCTGCAAGTTTGCTCCCAGTCCTTGGAAAAAATCTTCCTGCTGCTTATAGATCGATGTCTAACAGCTTCAGAATGGCAAACTCAATAGCTCTATTCTGAATTCCAGAAATCCTTCTTTCACAGTCACAGGAAGATAGACTCTTGAGAAACACCAAAACAATCTTGTGGACAATAACACTACTTTTTTTGGAGCAAAGGACTGTGGGACCTGTTATGGTCCCTGCCGTGTCCACGGTCAGCTGTCCACCTCGACTGAACCTCGACCAAAGAGGCCTTGCCCTCACTCTCGCCTCCAGACTCACCCTCCTCATCCACTGCATGAAACAGAGGTTTGGGCCTTAAAGCCACCCTCCTTACTCCACCCAAGTACTCTTCTTGGCTTGTGTTTCTTTGATAACCAGAGTTGAATGCCTTCCTTCCTCTGTGTAGGCTCTTCATCGGGATTATTTCTTGTGCCTCTTGTTTCTGAAGCGACCCTATCCGAGAGAGTGCGCTGAACGTGATGGATGGGGATCGTGGATCGCAGCTGTCATCATCTAGGAAAACATCATGGCAAGAAGGGGAAAGAACAAGACTTAAGATCAGAGGTAAGACTTAATATCCGCATGGCAGGAAGTCAGAGTGAAGCAAACCCTTGCCTGAGGTTTCAGCTCTACACTCAACTTTCTTATCAGCACAATTTTTCCTTCTTGAGGACACTGCCCGAAGCAGATGGGAGGACAGAAGCTATAAGTGCGGTGTCATAAATAAATAGAAATGCATGAAAAATGGTATATCAAGCCAGTCTCCTCAGGCAAGTAAGGTCGTGTCATTTTACAGAATCAGATCAGTTGGCCATAGACATAAACCATGGGACACAAAGATGCTTGGTCTTGTCCAAAGCCAGTGCTACACAGAAGGTTATGTGGTGCAGCCATCTGAAAGTGGTTGCTTTTATCTTGGTTTGCTTTTTCATCAGTGGTTACCAGAAAGCATTACATCTGAATTCCAATCTTTGATACAGAAAAAGTCAATCCTGGAGAAAGGGGGATAGGAGGGAGCCACAGCAGAGACCAGGGTGTGACCGGATGCCCTCCTTTCAGAGGAGTAAGCAGGTGACAGACTATGACTGGCACTTGATGGGAACTTCCCTTTCCTGATAATTTACTATATGCCTGTCACTGTGCTCATCCTTTTACATATATCATGCCATTGAATCCTCATAGCGGCCCTTCCAGGTGAGTAAAGTTATGAATCTCACAGGTAAAGTGGCTGAGGTTTTACAAGGTTAAGCAATGCTCAATATCACAAGCTGGTGAATATGGGACCAGAGTTTGAGCAAAGCCTGCCCAGCTTCGAATCCACTTCTTACCATCAGGTCTCCTTGCTGTCTTCTTGGTGTATCCACCTGCAAGAGGGAGGGCTACCTCGTGCGAGGGAAGCCAGCAGCTGTGTATACAATGTCCCTTCTTGGATTCTCTTCCAGACCCCTAACCCATGGCTAGGACATTGCCTTGTCCCCACTTCAATGTGCACACATCTTTAAAGGAATATTTCTCACATATCTCATTTCCTCTCATTTCCTCAAAGTCTTAGCCTCATAGATTTATTTTCCCTTTAAAACTTCTCCTAAGAACTTAGGTATTTTCAGACATTTATATTTAAATCTGAAAGCCGTGTTCCTTCTCTCACTCTTCCTCCTAAAAAACAAAACAAAAACTCCACGTCTGGAATGAATATGCCCAAAGATTTACATCGAAAAAATGTATTTGGAATGTGGGACACCTGAAAATCTTAGAATATCCTGTTCAATAGTGTTTCTCTAAAATGTGACCCAATTATACTAAGAAGGTAACTTGGAAATTGGGCAAGGGAGACCAACTTCTTTCAATAAAGAAAACATTAATTAATACATCTGTCTATTGTTTCCCATGACTCTCCTTTAATGTGTGCTCTGTGACGAGGCCTGGGACCAGTCCCTCTGGATCCTTGGTGCTTGAAGCACTAGCTAAGGAAACAATGGCCTGGAGGCTTCTGCCCCCAAACCCTGTTCTCTCACTCCAAGCTTTCCTGTTGAGCGCCCCATCAGTGGACAGATCTTAGTCATGGTTTCGGTTTCCCGACCACCCTCTGGGTTATTTTACAGTGGACTCCAAGCTCTAGGAAGAGGCATGGGTGTGTGACTTGCAAAGTTTCGCTCAGCTTAGAGCTGCCCAAAATTGAAGGAAGAAGTTGGCTGGAAAGCAGAAGGCAGAAAAAGGAAGAGTGAGGACTGTGTTTCGTCCTTTTTGTGTAACTTTCCTCCATATGGGCACCCAGGCAGTGTAGTTCCAGGCAGGGCAGTGGATACTTTGTCAACAAAATCTGAGTATCTGTTCTTTTACCTCCCACCTGACCGACAGCCTGAACTTCTGGACATGGGCACCCTGACGTGAAAGGAGAAATAAGGAAGGTGCTTCTGCAGGGCGAGCCCCAACACACAGAGGATGAACTACCTGATGCAGGATACACTGTTCAGACACCCAAACCTGGGGTGCAACCCTCCCCACCTCCATATTTGTTAAACTTGTGGTAAAATATACATAACACAAAATTGACCATTTTAACCATTTTTTTGTCTAACTGTAAATAAGTGTACAGTTCATTGCATGAAGTGCATTCACATTGTCGTGTTATCATCGCCACCGTTCATCTCCAGAGCTTTTTCATTTGCCTCAATGCACATGGATTCTCAGCAGCCTCGTCATGTAAGGGGTTTCCAGGCAAGACCTCTCTACTTATAACACTAAGTGAGCCCTAAAGGCAAAAGAGCCCCGAAAGAGCATGTGAAGTCCTCCAAACCAGCATGGAGCTCCAAGACATCCAGAACAAGAAAAGTCCTAACCCTGGAGGGCAAGGGGAGAGCTAGGAAGGGAAGCATTCTCCAGGTTTCAGGCGGGTTAGCCAGGGACTGCTTGCCTGCAGAACAAGAGTCTCCACTGTCTCCCCTAGATCCCCTCCAGCCATTCTCCTGGTGGAGAGAGACTTCGGGTTTGGCGAGAAGGATTCCAGTGATCAATTGTGCTTGGCTACACATTGAGGACCATCTCAGCCTTATCCTCATCATTATTATAATCCTTTTTAAATGTATCATGGTTTATTATTTTTCATAAATCACAACCACAGAAATTACAAATTATTCACAGTAGAGTTAATTCCAAGCAAGCCAGAAATGAGTCTGCATATACAGGCATAAGTTTCCATGACAAATAGGAACAAGTATATAAAATCCTACAGACATACGACCCATAACGTATTGCAGAGCACTGATTTCCCATCTTTAAAACTTATTGAAGAAAACTGCTAACATAAGTGCTATTTCATTACTTTTCTCTCAGATTTCTAGTTTAACCACTCTCTTTATTCACCTAGCTGAAACTTACAACCAGCCGAGTATATATAAAAGAAAAGAAATCATTGGGACTAACAGTTCATTCCAAGTCTGAATTAATTCATGTAGAACCGACATTGTGAAGCGTTGTCTTTCTTTCCAAGAACATCTGTATTTATCCAAGTCAAGGCTTCCTTAAGTCCCTAAGTAGTAATAGTAATAATGACTAATATTTCTTGCACATCTACTTGGTTCCAGGCTCTGTTCTAGTGGCTTTATGTACCTGTTCATATGTGTACCCTGCATGTATGAGACTGGCTTTGCATCAGGACAATACAATTGCATATGGAGGGAACCAATATTATCCTCTTCATAGACCAGAAATGACAGTGTGGAGAAGTAGAATTTTATTTTTCCTTCATATAGACTCTGTCTGTTTTTTTCCTGGCATTTTATGGCTTTGACTGAAAGTGTGACTGAGATGTCCTTTAATGAGGACATCTATTAAAAGGCTAGGATCCTGTGACCTGTTTATTAGTCTAGTGAATCATGTATGTATGTTTCCAAATGTTAAACGACTCTCAAATTCTGGAATAAACCCACTTTGCAAGGTGTATTGTACTTTTAATGTTCTGCTGTATTTTGTTTCTAATGCTTATTTAAGATTTGTTCATTAGTGCTCAAATGAGGCTGCTCCGTGGTCATCTCCTGCTACCATAGTCATGTGGTATTGATGCTTGTCTCTTAAGAAATAACTGTCGTCCAGGCATGGGGGCTCACACCTGTAATCCTAGCATGTTAGGGGGCGAGGCAGGAGGATCTCTTGTGCCCAGGAGTTAGAGATCAGCCTGGGCAACATAGAGAGACCCTGTCCCTTTTTAAAATTTTTTTCTAAAAAATTTTAAATTAAAAAAAAAATAACGGTGACACTTTCTTGTTTTCTCACTCAAATAACAAAACTGGTTCCAGGTTATTTGTACCAGGAAGATTATTTTTAAAAATTAAACTATTGACCAGGCTCGGTAGCTCATGCCTGTAATCCCAGCACTTTGGGAGGCCTAGGCTGGGAGATCACCTGAGGTCAGGAGTTCAAGACTAGCCTGGTCAACATGGAGAAACCCCGTCTCTACTGAAAATACAAAAATTGGCCGGGTGTGGTGGCACATGCCTGTAATCCCAGCTACTTGGGAGGCTGAGGCAGGAGAATCACTTGAACTCAAGAGGCAGAGGTTGCAGTGAGCAGAGATCGTTCCACTGCACTCCAGCCGGGGTGACAGAGAGAGACTGGCCTCAAAAAAATAAATCATTGGCATCATTTAGGAGAGAAAATGGATGAAGAACCCTTGTTATATAGGGTTCTTCAAATTCATCTCAAGAAAATCAACAACCAAATAGAAACAAAACAAAACAAAACAAAAAATGAGCAAAGGCAGAAACAGAAAACTTCACCCCAAGAAATATCATTGTTTCCAAAATGTGAAAGATGTTCAACTTCACTAAAAATCAAAGAGATTCATATGAATTAAATGTGGCATATAAATTTTATGCTATCGTATCACAGATTACTCAAAAGTTTGACAACAGCCCAGTGGTATTAGGAAAAGATCATTCTTACAGACTGTTGTTGTGAGGGCAAATTCGTGACATAATCTTTTGTGATGGTGTTTTGACAATATCTGTAAAAATTTAAATGTATATGAATTTGACCTCAACATTTTACTTCCAGGAAAATATACTAAGGGAATAATTGCTTATTTGTGAAAATACCAATCACAAGTGGTCCGGAGTCCTTATTATGTATCGTTGTTTGTCTTTATTAAAAGTTGATAATACCTTAAGTATTAATTAGGAATTAGCTTAATAAGCTTTGGCACATGCATGTAATTCGTATTAACTCATTAAAAATGAGTATTAGATCCACATCTACTGGCATGGAAACCTATGTACAACATTTGTTCAGTGAACTAGGCAATTTATAAAAATTGCAACACAATGACTATACTTTGATTTTTGTGTATAATATGATGCAATGTTTTTGTGATTTTTTGTGGGGGGAGGTGTCAGTATGAGTAGTGTGGGGTCAGGCAGGTATAGGAAGAATTCTAGAAGGATGTTCACCAAAACATTCTATGGTGATTATACGTTGGCATTGAGGTTGCAAGTGCTTCTAACTTTCTTTTTCATGCTTTTCTCTACTGAATGATTTTCATTTTGTATCAAGTATGTTTTTAAATCAGAAAAAAAAGTTTCATTTTGAGGTAATTACGTATACTCCTTGAAGATTAAATACTAAAATCCTATGTTTAGTTTACTTGAATTTCCAACGTGATTTTAACACTTAAAAGTTAGGAAAATAAAAATAGATAACATGGCGTGTTATACATATTATGTCACCTTTTGCTAATAGCAAATCGTTTTATACCCACATAAAAATAGTAACTTTGCTTTCATTAGAATAATAAAGTTTCAATAATTCTAAGAATTCCACTTAATTAAATATTAAATGGAAAACATTTAATCAGTAAGTCTGGTGAAATCATTTTAGTGAAATTAAGCCAGGTTTGGAGAATTCTGCTCATATTTAAATGGTGGGTAAATACTAGAACTTCAGCAAAACATCCCTTTCACATTTCTTCAAGATGTGATCAAATTATGACCCTTGGGCTCTATCTGGCCTACTTCCTCTTTGTATATGGCCTGTCAGCTACAAATGGTTAGTACATTTTTAAGGGGCTGAAAAAATTAAAAGAAGATAATATTTCATGAAAAGTGAAAATTGTATGAAATTCAAATTTCAGTGTTCATAAACAAAGTTAGGAGTTTCATCTATAAAAGAAGTTGTTTTCTTCTTTTTCTTATCATGTAAGTAACCTACATAATGTTCTTAATGTTGCCTCTTGTTCCACACCCACAGATACTTACCATCTGACCCTTTACAGAAAAGCAGCAGAGAAGCCAGGCATGCAGCTTACCTGAGAACTCAGCAGCCCTTGTGTCTCTTCCCGCAGACTGAGGATTCCCGTAGGGGAAGGAGAGGTAGCGGACATTCTTGGTGCCAGCCTGTGGGTAGCAAGTAGAAAGAAAAAGCAGAATAAGCTGCCTCAATTCAGAGCTTCACATGGCAAATAAAGGGAGGGGCCAGACACTTTGGCTTACACCTCTAATCCCAGCACTTTGGGAGGCAAAGGTGAGCGGATCACCTGAGGTCAAGAATTCAAGACCAGCCTGGCCAACATGGTGAAACCTTGTCTCTACTAAAAATACAAAAATTAGCAGGGCATGGTCACGGGCACCTGTAATCCCAGCTACTCGGGAAGCTGTGGCAGGAGAGTCGTATGAACCCGGGAGGCAGAGGTTGTAGTGAGCTGAGATCACACCACCCACTGCACTCCAGTCTGGATGACAGAACGAGACTCCATCTCAAAAGTAATAAGATAAAATAAAGGGAGGAACACAGACCTGTTCTGTGGCATCTTGTTTGGATTACTGGCTTTTAGTTTTTTTCTTTTGAGAAAGCAGACCACACCAGTCTCCAATATGTATTTCCTTTCCCTCTCATGACAAAAGAGACCATTAGCAACCTTTCAAAGTTACTCCCATATCCCCACTGAGGATAGGTTTGAGATTAGGGCCTGCTTCTCACCCAGCCTCCATCCAAACTGCAGGTAAGACTGGTCTGTTATGGCCTCAATGGGAAGAGTGCAGGAACACAGTGGCTGATGTGAAGGTGAGCCCAGGAGTCTTGGTAACAACCAATCCCTTTCTATACCTTCTGGGGAGAGAAGGAAGCATCCTGGGGTCAGACGGCCTGGTCCAGACCCAGATCCTATGGTGACCAGGTACTGACCATGAGGACTGAAGGGCATGGTCAGTACCTGGTCACCATAAGGTCTGGGTCTGGACTCACAGCACATCAAGTGCATTGCAGTCCCTGACCCACCCTGGAGGGCAGCACCCTATGGGCAGATACCTTCAGTCCCTAAGACCCTGAACCCAGAGAAAAAGGTTGCTCTGGTGTCTTGCACTCTTGCCGTAGGATCCCTCAGGTAACAAGGTGGGGTTTTGTTTGTGTAAATATTGATGGTCACGCATGTGAGATCCTGTACAGGAACAGGCTCAGCAGGTGACAAACACTTGCAGACTGAAGGAATGTCCCAGTCCCCAGCCCCAGTGTACCGGCTTTCCCCAGGGCAGGCTGTGGCCTTTCCTCATGCTCTCCCTTAAGGTGTTCTGGCGGCGGATCAGAATCTCTTTAGCCTGCTTCTCACTTGTTTGGGGTTTGAGGTTATATTTGTTGTAGGACAGGGTCTGCAGAGAAAATGGAATGTCAAGTACGTAAGGACTCCTTCATATAACTTGCAGCCAAGGAAGCCATGGAAACATCAGGAACCTAAGACCAAGAGAACAGGTGAGCACCTTGGAGGTCAGCTAAGCATTTTTCTTGATTACGAATGAGCAAGTTTCAGTCCTAGGAAGAAAAGTGTGTGACGCCAGGTCCTGCTGCTCTCAGGGCAGAACTGTGGCTGGAGCCTCTGCCTTCTGCTCTCATCCTTACAGCGGTCCTTCCCTTAGTTACCCACAGACTTGGCCTGCCCCATACATACACTTTCCTTTCCAGGTCATGTTTTTTATGCCAGGCCAGTGAATTTAATAAGAAAGGAAAATATCCAAACTAAACTACTTTGGGACTTTCCATAGGGCTGTTGTCTTTTAATTTTGCCAGTTAAGGATACCTACACATGCATGCGCGCGCACACACACACACTCACACACACAATTTCTATCAACCATTATCATCAATTCAGAAAGAAAGTCTCTTAACCAAAGTCACAAGAAGAACATAATTTGAGATTTAAAAAAAAAATAGCCCTTCAAATTGAATCAGTTTAGCTTTATGAGAACGTCTTCCTTGTCCTTTACCCCAGACCAGTGGAAACTTGTCATGGACCCTAGGCCAACATTAGTCAGTCCTCAGACAAATGTTTGCAAAATGCTTAACTGAAATTTCCTCTCCTTTTTGGTGCTCACTAAAGGCCCACCAGCAAATGCTCAATTTGCCAGGAGTCAGTAGGTGACACAATGTGCACTAATAAACCACAAAGTCCTGGTAGATGACAGGATCGGGACCGCAGGGGCTCTCCCTCCCAAGTGACGGATGCTGTGATAGGGATAGTCAGTTCCACTTCAATAGAGAAAATGCTCTATGTGCCCTCAGGTGCTGTGGAAGGCACAGGATTAAATAAGTGAGTACATTAGAACTACAATCTTCAAAAGGCTTACAGTTTCCTGGAAAAGTCAAATCAATAGGGATAAGATGCTATGCGTGCAGGTAAGTGATAAGATTCTGGGATCATCAGGGGTCGTAGAGTACAGGCAAAAGGCACTTCATCCAGTCTTGGATGGGAAAAGTTCAGTGTACTGAGATAAGTCTTGAAAGATGAGTGAGTGTTATCCTGGGAATAAATTCCAGGAAGAGAAAACACATGAGCTAAGACATCAGCTGGTAACCACCTTGGAGGTGAGAGGACAGTCAGAGGATGTGCTGGAAAAGAGCCAGGAATGAGTCTGCTACCACGAAAGAATGGGGTGCTTCATTCAAAATGTGTGAGAGGTGAGACTGGAGGGGCATGGAGGGGCTGGGGTCAGGCCACAGGTAGCCTGCCAAGGAGTAGAGGCTGCATTTTTCATGCCATGCGCTTTTTAGGTGGGTGCACACACTCCAAAAAGTGCCACAAGATGCCCCACAGGGTGAGAAAGAAAATACTGATACTTCTATTTCTATTGATTTTTATCCAAACAAATACAAAGCATATTAAGCTCTATTAGTACTTAATATATGAATGTATAACGGGCCCTCACTCAGTCCATACATGAGACAGTCAAGTCAACAAGGGATTCACAATGGCATCCTCATAGGTTTCACCAGCTTGCAGTTCATTGTGTTTCAGTGTGTGTGCATCCAGTTAAGTAGATGTGTGGTTTCCATTAGCTATTAACTAAAGTAACCCTCACAAAATAGACAATTGTATTAAAAAAGTGTTGTAAAGAAGGTGTAAACTGGACTGCCAAGGTGGCTCACACCGGTAATCCTAGCACTTCAGGAGGCCAAGACATGTGGATCACTGAGCCCAGTAGTTTGAGACCGACCTGGGCAATGTGACTAAACCCTATCTCTACAAAAAATACAAAAAAAAAAAAGCTGGATGTGGTGGTGCGAACCTGCGGTCCTAGCTACTCACGAAGCTGAGGTGGGAGAAACGCTTGAGTGTAGGAGGTCAAAGCCACAGTGAGCCGTGATCATGCCACCGCACTCTAGCCTGGGTGACAGAGTGAGAGTGACACCTGTCTCCAAGGAAAAAGAAAAGAAGGCATAAACTAAAGGCCAAGGGAACAATGAGGGAAGGGTAAATCCAACTTTCTCCTTCTCCCAATGGGAGCTCTTTGTCATCCACTTCTGACACATTAACAGATCTGACAAGAATTTTCCCCAAAAAGTTGAAATTTGAAAATAGTTTGAAATATGAATTCTTGTCTATCATTAGTAATGATACACCTCAACCTATGTGCATTTTATAAATTGAAATATTAAATATTAAAAATGGTAACATGACACGGTCGTGAAAAATAAAACAAGAATTAGGAATATAGAGACAAACTTTTACAATTGTTTATCAATTTTAAAATCATGCAAAACTGAATGCAGAGTGTGTGTGTGTGTGTGTGTGTGTGTGTGTGTGTATACATACAATGTATTGCTAGTAGGATTTCCTGCACCTAGACTTGGGAGGAGGTTGTACTTTTTAAGGAACACTTGGGCGGTTGGCTTCCTATTTCATCTCCCATAACCTCCCATGACCCACGTGCTTCTCTATTTTGCCTGTCTGCAGGGAGCATAGAAGCCTCTATGCATATAATGTGCATGCAAGTTTCTTCCCTCCTCTCCCTCCATTTCTGTGTTACAGTGGAGCTTGTACTTCCCACTGGACCTTGAGTCCTAAAGGAGAAGGAACTTTGTCTTATTCAGTGCAGTGTTCCTGATGCCCAGCACATTCTAGATGTGCATTAACTATTTACTGAAGGAAACTGAAATTGCTCTCTTCCTTTGAAAGCATGTAGAAATTCTGAGAGTAATCTGATTGTCCAGGCTACTCAGGAACCACCCATCAATCTGTGACCTATCCTGGGGGTCTGGGCTGAAGCCAGTTTCTTCTCTTGTAAGTTTAGTCATAGTATTTCTCAACCTCCATCCCCGCTGTGTTTCAGAGAGCTTCCTCTGTGGTTGTCCTACCAGGAATCTCCAGAGGTGAGTCCTTTAAGTTTTCCACCCATGAAGATTCTGTCCTGGGTTTACTGAGTCGAAGGACTTCAAACAGAATTGGCTGGATTCCTCCTAGGAGCAACAGACCCAGCAGGGCCAGCTCAGTTTTGGATCAACTCTGCATTAGGGTCGCCCAGAGTCAAACTCTGCATTCATCCTGGTCCTGTTCTGAGGTAAATCCCGATGCCCACGATGGCCTCTTTCAAGATGTGAACAGTGAGAAATGCCCTGGCTACCAGGCCTGCATCTATCATCCAGGCTACAGAGTGCAGGATGGCTAAGGTACAACCTTTGTGACATTTCTCAAAAATGTAGATTGTCTGCTAGAAACAGAGTAAATGTATAATTGTCCTGAGTTGCATTTTCAGGTAGACTTTTCCTTCAAGAGATCAAGAGGACCACGGTGGAAGAGAGAATTCTCATGACCTTTGTAAAGCTGAGTAAGAAGAGGAAGACGGGAAGAGGTAGGACTGGTGAGTTTGACTTATGGAGTAAGCAAAGTAGAGTCAAAGAGCCACCTCATAGGCTTGTAACTGCCCTCTGTTTATCAATTGCGTTCTCCCTATTTGGCTCCCAAGGTCGTCAGCAATAAACTTCTTAAATGGAAAGAGGCCTTTGTGTTTTAATTTGAGGGCAATGAGGAAGGGAGGTGCTGTATATCTTAGAAAGTAGAACTCTGGAAAGCAGAATGCATAGGATACTTATTAAAAGAGACGAAAGGAGACTATCTTGGAAACTCCATCCAAGGAAGAAAAGAAAGGATGAGCAGTTGACCTTATTTTAGACTGGATTAGAGTCCTAGGATCTTCATCTGCATTTCCAGACCTTTCCCTAAACTTGATCTTCATCTACATAGGGAAAAGGCTGAGTAACAGGTACCCTCGGGACTCCGGCTCTCACTAAGCTAGCCACATTCTTCAAACCAGGAAGTTGTTATCTATTATTTATCTAAGGCAGGATGTGATAGTCTTACTGAAACAGTTTCACTTGGAATGATTTGAAAGCCTTGGAATTTACTCTAAGCACAGTACCATTAGTGCTGACCTGTATTCCTCCAGCTGGTGCAGAGCCTTTCGCTGACACATTCCTCTTAATCACTGACCTTTGAGTTGAAACAGGAGACCAGAAAACATTCACTTTCATTGGATTATGTAAGTCCAGAGTCATGAAAAGAGCACTGGGTGGGTGGGTAGAAGTCCTGCGTTCTTAACCTGGACTTGTTTTGTAACCTTGAAAAAGTCAGATAACCAACTCCACTGACCTCAGCATCTTCCCTTTGAAAATGAGGAGCTTTGTCTAGGTGATTTTGTTTTAGTTTCATTAAGACTATGATCAAGGACACAGTCACAAAACTAAAGGTCCTCAAAATGAATTCATTTCTAATCACACCCAAGTATTAGGATTAGGATGGATGATCAAATCCTCAAACTATAAAAACTTCTCATTATATGACTTCGTTAGATGACTAATTAGATGGAATATTTAACTAAGTCAAAGTTTCAGAAAGATTCATTCACTGCGCTCAGAAATCCTCTTAGTGTGCACTTTGGACCAGTTCCCAAGGACTAGTAGAGATTTCATACCTAGTTCCAAAATAGAGAAATAAGATGTCTCCTTTTATTCAGGCATTTATTCATTATAAATTATAGTTTCAATATTGGAACCTAAACTATCTCAACTTTCTTATTGTAGTCAATACAATTGGGACAAGTGCACTGTGATCAGCGTCCTGGTGCCATCTTTGTTCTGTGGTGTGGTGGATGAGCTTCTTTGCAGAGAGACCTGCTAGTTCTGGAAAGCACCAGGCTGCAGGGCTAGGGCAGCCTGCCCCCTAGAGACAGTAACTAGATTTGCACTTCTTTTTATGCCACAGGTGTCAATTTTGCAGCAGAAACATGACAATTAACTTTCTATTCTCCAAACTAAGCAGAGAGAAAATATTCAGCAAGAGTTCACCTTACAGAGGGTGACGTGAACATCAGAGGACCCCTGAACGACTGTTTTCAAGGACAGACAAGGGGGACAACACAGGTGGCTCATACACACCCTTTGCCGAACTTGGTACATGTTGGATGTCAGAATGTCCCTCATGGACTCCACATCTTCAGGGGAAAGTCTTTTGATTCCTTGTATCCTCTGGGCCCTGGAATCGTTACTGGAGAAGAGACAAACGTTATTCTTTCATTTGGCAAGAGGTGCCACAAAAATATCAGTGGGCCTTGCTCTGTACTGAGGGGAATCCTAAGCTCCGGAATCCTACATATAATTTTCCCTATTGTTCTAGTAAGTTGATTTGAAATGTCAGAACACGTGTCTTGATTTCAGGTTTTGAAAATACTGGTCCTTTGCCTATAGCTTATATGTGGTAATTATTCCAACCCATTTTTTGAAAAAGGTCTAAAGTGGTAACAAGTTTTTTTTTTCCTCCACAAATCTGTTATGAACTGGAATGTTTGTACGATACAATAAAAGTCAATTGTTAGAAAATGATACCGTACCATGCAATCCAAATATTTTACCATTAAATGCAACAGAAAAAAATGATTCAGTCCAAGACAAACTCTTTGCTAGTTTTGTACTTACCTATCTCACTGAGGACGGGTGGCAAACAATTCACAGATTTAATACCTTCTACACACCACCACATTTTGATTAGCATTTATCTAACAAAATGTTAGTTTCATGAGTACATTTGTATTGGAATTGTACCTGTAGGATTTTATCTTTGATTAAGAAATAATTGAAGAAACCAGAATCACATTTTACAAGGGCAATCAGACTATTTATACCATGAGAGCCAGCCCAGCTCTGAGATATTGTACACCGTGACCCCTTCCCACCTCTGGAAGGGATTAAAAACTGGGTTATGCCTGTGCCCAGGTTAGCAGTCAATGCACAATTGTCCTCTGGGGATTATAAAGTCCTGACAATCCTAGGGGAAGAATTCTCATGTGACAAGTGTATTTGATTACAATCTAGTGGCAGTAATTTTTAAAAACTTTACATTACATGAATAATATATATTCCATGTGGAACATAAGAACCAAAAAGAGAGAACTAAAAATAATTAACTCCCTTTTTAATACTATCACCTTCCTTAACATCTTGATACAAACCCTAATGGGTTGGTTTGTTTGTTTCTAGCCTCAGCTCTTTTGAATTTTGAATGCATAAGGGCACTGGAGGCTTTGATATCTGCTTGCATACACTCTTAAGATAATTGGCCACAGACATGAGTAATGATTAGTTTTAATACAGGCCACCTTTCAAGTATTTTTCAAAACATTACTAGCAATACAGCCATCAATAGTGAAGACATTTTAAAAGTAATGTACATTTGATAAAAGATTTTAAAGGACTTGGGTACTGAATATCACAGCAAGCCTGGATTTTGTTTAGCAATGCTATCTGTAGACTGACTAATGTCCTCTCTACAAACTGATTGAAATCAGTTTCCATATCATAAAGCTGCAAATGTCACCTCTATTGATACACAGTTACCACCCTTGGTGATCTTAACATTATTATCAGGGCATTTCAACCTAACTGTTTAAATGTCCTTCAAATAACATTTATTCTGATTTAGATATGCCCACACACTTCCACAATCTGAACACATTCCTTTAATGTGGTGATTGTGATGTACTGCTAAGCAGAAACAACAGCGAGTCAAATAGTTCCATTTATGTGTTCATTATGAAACAACCTAATAGGAGAAACCACTGATAAAGGAAATGGTAAAATTACACTTGATATAGCAGTAGATGTAACTTGGCACTCTTCCCAGTTTATAATTGACCACTTTGGGAAGGACGAACTTAGGTAAAGTCCATTCAAGCTCTGGTTGGAATGAGCACTCCAGGTATCCCAAAGGCATCTCCCATCATGGAGTCACATTGAGAAGCTGCAGCTATGGAATTATAGCAACTATCATTCTACAGCTATAGAATTGACTCACTTGGGCAAGGTGATACCTGGAGGTTTCTTCATGCCGCTTCATTAGCAAAATCGTCCCTGAAATACTCCCAGCACAAGCACAGGAGATACAGCTTTAGAAAAACTGAATGAGTGATCATTTCCATATCAAGTCAACTTATAAACCAAAAGACTCTTGTCACTGGACCATTGATTCATTATCCGTAAAGGAGATCTTCATCACCTTAAATAAAAGTTCTGCAATAATTTCAAACTGGAAAAATCTGAACCTAAGTATATTGAATACAATGTTCATATTTCTCATAACGCTTCTTACTTACCTTTTATATTGATACATAATAGTCGTACATAGTTTTAGGGTATATGTGATAATTTGATACATTCATATAATCAAATTAGGGTAATTGAGATATCCATTACCTTGCATTTTTATATTTTCTTTATATTAGAACCATTCAAATCATTCTCTTCTAGCTATTTTGAAATGTACAATCAGTTAGTGTTAACTATAGTTACCCTGCAGTCCTGTCAACCACCAGAGCTTATTTCTTCTATCTAAGTGTATATTTGTTCTCATTAATCAACTTCTCTTCAATGGTCCCTCATTCTTTGTCTCTTTTGATCAGTTGCTATAATAATGTAAAAAGAGGCTTCAATTCTACTATAATATCTAGTAGAATACACATATCATAGTATGAAGTTCCAAAAGATCAAATATGATTTGCTAATTTATTTAGAAGAACACATCTTTTTTTTTAAGCAGCTAAGATGTGAAGTGTTTAGGAAAAGTGGGCTCAGAGGAAGACTTGCCTGCGATGCACACAGTGGCGCCCACCGGCAGCGCTGTGTGTGCAGCTGCTTTGCATGTTTTTACAGAGGTCACCAAGATGAACAACATTTGGAATGAGTGACGAGTGGCTGAGATGATGCCGCTCCTCAGAATACAGTGTTCCATTGTGGAAGTGAAAAATGGCATCAGAATCTGCATCCTAGTCTCCTGGGTGAGAATGTGGAAATGTGAATTTGTACCTGTCAATGTGCGATCCATTAGAAAATTCTTAGACTACAATGAAGTTACTTTAGGTTTCTTTAAAAAATAAAGGACACATTAAAATTATTTGGGAGTTTTAAAATACATTTCGAAGTTGTATGGTTGTCATTTGTTATGCCTATAAATATATAAATATTTTAATATCACTTTAATCCAAAAGTGTTTAAAGCTTCAACGCTTTTAATCAGCTTGAGTCTCTATCTCTGATAATTTCTAACAGCTTACCACTCATTGGTGAGATGAGCCGCTTCATATTTGAAATAGTAATCCAAGTGCATATTCTACCTATTCATAGGATTGTTTTGAGTTTCACATAAGGTAATGTATGTAAAAGCAATAGGATTCCAAAAAACCAACATTATCCAAACTGTGCAAATAGACAACCATGGTGGCAGTGTTCTCCTGAAGGTCATAGAATTTGAAAATCTAAACCTTTTGTAGAACAATTGCTTGAACTTCTAAAGAAAAAAATACCTGTGCATTTTGTTGTTATCATCTCATACAGAATAATAAAAAGCGAGCTGAGTACACACTTCTTTTTCCTATTATTGTATGAAGGTTTGTTTTGTAAGAAATTTGCTGCTTTGATCTCAGGAGAGGAATTCCTTTTTGCTTGACGTCCTACAGATTTCTGATGAGATCAAATAAATGCAATTTAAATACTAAATACATATTAAATATCAACTTTAAAAAATCTCTCCCACCCCAGTTAACTACCTGCTTGGAGTGTAGGAGGGAAAAAAATTATCTCGTATCTATAAGGCTCTCTCACTAATCTTAAATGCATTTCTAAAGAAATAATTAACTCAACTGGCAGGCCCTGCTCCAAATAAAACTGGTTTAAAGATTGCCTTGAGATCAGAAATTAAGGCAAATGCTTATGGCTGATGCAATGTAATACAAAAATTCAAAATATGCTTTGCCACCTGGCAGACTGATTCTCATTTGAGATAAGCACCCCTGCCTTCCTAGACCAAGTGCTCACTTAAGTGAGCAAAGCAATTAAGGAGTTTCTAATGGTCTAAACTGCATTAATCAGCATTGATCCCTCAGTGAGCAGGCCAAAGGCAAGGAGTCCAGGTGAGGTGCACCTCTCATAGACTTGCATAGCTCTCTGTTCTTTATGATTATGTTTGTGTGGCCTTTTTTGTTAATGTCATGACCCTACCAGAGTATGGTGTCCATGAGGGCAAGGCCTGTGTCCGCTTCACGGTGCTTGGCACATAGGAGGTGTCTAACAGACAGGATTGGATCAAAGGTGTCAAATGCAAGGAGGTTCCAAAAAACTCAGTAACTAAGGTAAGTCAGATTCAAATGCAATATTTTTAGAAATAAAGGTCAATGCAAAAAATTCTTGATGAATATAATATCAACATTTTAAATAACAGAGGATCAATATGCCTGATGTTTCCTTTGCCTGAGATTCCACTATGATGCAGCAGAGCATTGCCAATATATATTTGTCAGCACTTTTCCATTTTAATATCAGAAGTTTCCTTAAAGCCACGTGATGGGCAGCATCAAAACAAATCAACACCCCCCCGCCAACCCTCAAAGAAAAGTCACTAAGAAATAAGGCAGAAAGCTTTGCATTATATTGAAATATCCTCAGGGACGCTAGTTAGGATTCTTCTCAGGCCATGTAAGAAATGCAAGGGTGTTTCTGATTTATTAGCAGGCAAGGGATGAAGGTGTTATCTCAGAAATAAGACTTAGGCAATAGTGACAATTTTATTGCTACCTATTCTTAGCTCTTCTTCCAACTGCCTTTTTAAATGTGAAGACATAATTGAAGCATATGATCAAGTGTTTTTACCTGCTGAAGACAACAGGATGGAGGGGGCCCATGCTCCTTATCCTAAATATATGTTGTGATTAATTTTCCCAATTTATAAATCATTTTTTTCTAGGAAAAACTGGGCATCTTTGGGAAATTAATGCATTCTTTTGACATTGAAGGGGCTCTCATTAAATCTCAGAGTTAAAGTAGTTTTAAGAAGTATTTAGCCAGCTCTTGGGACAAGTGGCTACCAGAGGCTCTACCATGTTGCATGGAAAATCATCTTGTAATGATGGGTTTATATTCCAGTATCACCCCTCCCTATGTCCTGCTTCCACAACAACTCCCTGTTCCTCAGGAAGCCAGGCCACTCGCTGCTTCTACTCCAAGCTGGTCTCACATAGACTCAAGGCAAATTTCACAATCTCATGTAGACCTTCGCCTTAGATGCAATTACAAACACAACTTTCTCTTTACATAGACCACCAATGACAACACCTCCTGCTATCATCAGTCATTCCCAAATCCAAGTTATCATCTCAGAAAGTTAACTCATCTATCACGTAAAAGAGGAAGAGAAATGGCTTATGGGAAGAAACACAATGGTAGGAAGGACAGAATCACAGGCACAGGGGTCATGTCATGAGCAAACTGAGACAGTCCTGTAGAATATGCTGCAATTCTACACATTCACTTGCCCTTCCCTCCCAAAGAAAGATGTCATACAACTCTAAGTAAGCAACATATGCTAGAAAGTAATTTTCAGAAACTAGGTAAAATATGTTGAGCTTCGGCCAAGCCATAAAAATGCCAAGACTTAGATTACGTATTTTAAACATAATTTCTTCTTTATATTTCTGCCTCTTTACTCCTCGTGTACCTTTAAATGAGGCAATGAGTCAGTGCCCCTTGGAATTCTGACAGTGAAAGTTTAGAACAAAGAACAGATATGACTTACTGATGGGGTATGGAGAAAGCTGTAGAGCTTAGTATCCCAGTCTCCACCATCTCGATGGCTTGTTTCATTTCCAGCTTCTTGTACAAAGAAACAATGCTTGATTTGGGTAGGTTCTTTCGGATGAGGATTTTCCGTAAGTATCTATGATCAAACTTCTTAAACCTAAAAATGAAAACCAACATTTTTGAAATCTTGAACGTCTGTATGTGTTACGTAAGTATGCATTTCTCTTAAAACAAACTACTTACTACTTAACTTTATTCTGAAGAAACATCAGGACAGTGCCTGGTATTCATAGCATTTGAACACATTTTTTTTTAAATTCATAGTATTTATGCATTTTTTAAAATAAAAAAAAAAGAATGGCCTACTGGCCTGAATACATTGAAAATCAACTAAACAAAAGGAAGGGACAAGCTGCAATCAGGGCAAAAAGTGTGCATAAGTGAGGCGCGGGGGAGGCCCAGCCCAGCTCAGCTCCAATTGTAAGAGAAGAAATGAGGGGGCTGAAGCTTTTGAACAAGTGTTCCATTCTAATAGCGCATAACAGCGGCAGCTGCACTTACAGTAATACTGGCCTATTCAACCAGAACCCAATAACTTTAAATGGCCCGGTAGTTACAGTAGTTTTGCCCCATTATGCTGCAGATCATTTTGAATCCTACCAATTAAGGGGAAGAAAAAAACCCTACATATGTCCCAATAGCCTGAATGATGGAGACTGTGAATAGGCGAGACTGATGGCCGCTGACTATTGTAAGGAACCTCTGGCCGGCCCATTCGAGCGAGCTGCGCTTTGCATATGGTGCCTTCAGAGTCAGCCATTTGTTTGGAGTTGGAATTTTCAACACTTTCAATCATTTTACATTCAAAGAGTAGTTTGCCCGCCTGCTTTATTTTCCAGAGGGGAACATAGCTTCCCGGGCTGCTGGTTTATTATCTGGCAATTGGTTTCCTGGTCCATGAGCTGTGTCAGCTCAGCCCCTCCAGGGTCAGGGGCTGGCTTCCTGAGCTTTGCTGTCTGAGCTCGGCTCAGACCAGGCCTCCTCTTATTCCGACTGGGTCGATCTTCTGTCTTCTAGTTTTCTGCCCTCATGAGAAGCCATGGCTCCTGTGTATTCTCAGCCCACGGTAATCACCTCCCCAACCATAACACCCTCCCTGACTTTCCTTCACTGAGATCGCCTTGACCTTGTCCTGTTCAACTCCAGAGGCTGCCCTCATCCTTCCCATCCTGGATGCTTGTGTCTCCTGACGTGCCGGGTTCTCCCTGTGTGCCCTCCACTGCCTGACTCGCTCCTGCTTCCCGGTCAGACTCTGACCACTTCTTCTCAATCTCCTTCCGCACTTTCTTTTCCTTGCCTGCGCCCAAGAGTGAGAGCTTCTCAGAGACCCATACTCAGTGAGCTGCCAGCTACTCACTCCAGCCGCAGCCTTCCTCCTGAACTGGAAACGAAATCCAGTAAAACAATACATTCTGAAAGGTGAGATATGGTGGAGAAGAGGGATTTGGGCATTTAAAAAAAGAATTACCATATTTGAGAATCTTAAAGATCTTCCACCATGGCCTTCCCCACAATGGAGGAATCCCTTGCCAGGATTCCTAAGGAGGCACCAAACTCCCTTTCCAAACTCCTTTTCCAAGCTGGCCATTCCGTGGTAGAGCTGATCTTATCCTTGGGAAGCTTGTCCTCGTTTTTAACGTAAATATTACTTTTCTAATTTCTACTCATTAGCTGTACTAGTTCTCTCTGGAACAACCTACACCGAGTCTACCGCGTCTTCCACCTGACAACTCTTTATTTTCCAGGCTTAGCATGCCCTGGAATTTCAACTGCTTCCTGTAGGGGATGGCTCTGGAGCACCTTATCCTCTTGGTCTCCATTCCCTGAATTCTCTCTGGTTTATGCCCAGCTTCCAATGGAACCTTTAGAAGTTACCCATGCCACCCGTATGCTTTGCCAGGGAGTGAAACCCTCGGCCTCCTTACTTGTCTCTCACTTGGTAGTGACTCCAGTGCCCACACACGTCTTCGATTCCAGCCTTTAAGTGATCCATCAGCTGCCAAACACACACAAGAAAATGATTGCTGGAGAAACGCGAACTCTGAAAGACACACAGGACAGCTAAGACACCTTAAAAAACAAAGGAGGCTTTAATTTTCTGGAGCGTATCTGACTTTCTATCACTGTGTTCGTGTAATAAAACATTTGATGCCTTTCACAGTAATTTCAACTTTGTGTTGTGGTTTAAAGACTCGGTAGATAAGTTTCTTGATAATTCACATAATATGTAATGAAAACTGGGAACCTGGCATTTGCTTTGGATAATACTTTTCTAGAATGATCTAGGAAATGTCTCATTACTGAAATTATTTGGAGGATAATTAATAATAATAAAATATATCATATTTAAGATATTATTAAATAATTGTAATAACTTACTTTTAATTTCATTGCAAAAGAAAACAACACACTGTTATCCAATCATATAATTTCTGAAAATATAATTCTATAAATATTATGCTATAACATATAATAACAAAATATCTATATTCCTTATTTTAATATGCTTGTTTGATCTAAGTACTTACATTTCACCACTCGAGCAAATTATATTTGTTTTATCCAAAATTGTTTATAGAAATTTAGGAAAAAGTTCAGTCTTCAAAATAATTATGAAATTAGTCTCCAAGTACTTTAAATTTGAAATTATTGAAGTCTATACTGGCTTCTGAATTTTGTTTTGAAAAACAGATTCAAATATTAAATTAATTATTAAATGATTGATTCACTACTTTCTACCAAAAATTATAACTTTTTTGAGGAAAAGAAAAATAAATGAGAGAAGAATGAAATATCCAAGTGCCATGGACTTAGGTGGATTATCTAATTTGTCAAAATAATAAATCATAGGAGACAAAGATAGAGACAAAAATCTATGATCAGTTTAAGGCGGTACATATTTCAAAACAGTCACCACTTATCCTTATCTGTTAATTATTTTCAAATGGCCTTGCAAATTTTTCATTAGGATTTCCTGGAATTTAAATAACCAAATTTCCTAGGTCACTTTGACCATGAACTTTAGGGTAGATTTTGGAAGACTTCATCATTCATCAGTTTCTCTAGTATTAAAATGGTGAACTCTCAGGGATAGAAGAAACCTAACATTTTTTAGGTTCAACTATCTCCTCAAAGCTTGAATCTCATGTACAGCAATGATGCCACATGTTCCCAATCACTGGTTAGACACATCCACTTCAGCTTCAGGTGTGCCAATTAGGAAATGATTGTCAGAACGCTCTTTCATTAACTGAGTTGAAGTCTCCACCTATAACCCTTCAGACATTAGTTCTCATTTCTGTTCCTTGGAGCTATACACAGTGGTATCCCTTCAATGTTGTGCTGAACTTAAACAAACAGGTAGAAACCATGCTCAATGTCATATTCATCTTTGCTAGCCTGGGATGTTTTCACTAAAATCTGCCACTCAGCCATGTTTACAAAAGAAGTAGCACCCTTTGCCCCTCCTATAGTAAGAGTTCAAAAAAGGCAGAGGACCCCATATTTCATTGGAACTGTGATTTTAGAAACAAGCAGGACAATTTTGAATGTTAGTCACTGTGATAGTATTTTGAGGTATCAATTTAGCCAGGCAACTCCCCAGTTATTCAATCAAACAGTACTCTAGATGTTGCTGTAAATGTATTTTGTAGATCTGATTGAAGTCATAATCAGTTGTCTTACTTAAGGGAGATGACCCAGATAATCTGGGGGAGCCTGATTCAATCGGTTGAAAGGGCTTAAGAACAGGCCCCAGGCTTCCCTGATGAAGAAAAAAATCCTACTTGTAGACAGTAGCTCTTTTGGATGACCTGTCCCATGGATTCTGGGCTTTCCTAGCCAGTCCCAACAATACTGAAAAACTATTCCTTACAACAAATCTCTTCCTATCTCTATCTCTATCTGTATCTCTATCTCTATTTCTATCTCTGTCTCTGTCTCTGTCTCTATCTCTATCTCTGTCTCTTATCTCTATCTCTATCTCTGTCCATCCATCCTACTGCCTCTGCTTCTCTGTTGAGCCCTGATGGAAACACCACCAGCTTGGACAAAAAAGAGGAGGAAATGAAAGAAATATGTCAGACCCTCACAATTCTATAAGCAAGAAATAGACCGATAAAGTTACTCAGCTGCAAACTTATGCTACCTTTGTAAACAAAGGAAGTATGATTCAGAGGGTGAAGTTGAGAACTCAGAGGGTGGAACAAAGAGTTGCAAGGGATTAGGGGATTCCCAGCCCTTGAAACCAAATAAAGCTTGCCCAGGAAACATTGAAGTTTGCTTGGTATCAATGACTCCTTTTTTTCTTTCATTATCTCCCCAGCTTTTCGAAAGGCAATAGCCATAACTGTTATTCAACGAGTGTCCTACCATATATTTTAAGAGCAGATAACTTGTTTCTTGAGTTCAACAAATTCATAGATGAAGAGAAACTGAGCCTCAGAAGAGATTATACCCAGAGCCTCACTGAGCCCTGCTCTAGATGATGGAGATAATGAGATTTGGGATTTTTGACCTGATAAGATTCAGATGATATTTTGGATTTTGAATTGATGATGCAGTGTATTGAGACTTTTGGGGTGTTGCGATAGAAGGAAGGTATTTTGCATGTGATTCATATATGAATCTTTGGGACACAGACGGCAGACTGTGGTAGGGAGAACAATCACCTTGCAAAGATATCCATGTCTTAATCCCCAGAACTTGTGAATATGGTAGTTTAGTTTAAAGGAGTATTAAGTGGCAGATGGACTTAAGGTTGCTAATCAGCTGACCTTAAGCTGGAGACAATCTCCTGAATTATCCATGTGGATGCAGTGGGATCATAAAGCTCCTTCAATGTGGAAGAGGGAGGCAGAAGGATCATTGTTGGAGGGATGCAGCCATTGCAGGCTCTGAAGATGGAAGGGGCCATGGGCCAAGGAATGCAGGCAGCCTTTGGAAGCTGTGGGAGGTGAGGAAACAGATTCTCCCCAGGGCCTCCAGAAAGGAGCACAGCCCTGCAACACCTGGATTTTGAACTTCCGACCTCCAGAACTGTAAGACAATAAATCTGCCTTATTTTAATCACTAAGTTTGTGGCAATTTCCTACAGCAGCCATAGGAAACTTACACAGTCAGCCTTGGTAGAGTGGGGGAGGAAAGAGGAAGTCTAGTGACGTGTGCACATGTCTCATGGTAACAAAGGGGAAATGTCTTATTAATTTATTTATTGTGACTATGAGATAACTTACACGAATATGAAGCTCTTCATTGATGGATTCTTTTTTATTGGTTTTTTTAACATCCAGGTACCTGACCAGAGGGCCAATTGTGATTCCCTAGATCAGAAATAGCAAAATAAAAGGGTTCTGCTGTGTTGAACACTGTCACTAGAGAGAGCAAATTTATTAACAAAACCATTAGAATGTCCAATCTATATGTTTTGGTATAGCTATTACAGAATAAATGCTCCAATGTTCACTTCAGGTCTTCGTTCTTTTAAGTACTGCAATAAAAATAGATACATTGTTTGTATTTTAATATAGGAATTTGGTTTCACCCATTAAAATAAATGTTCATTGGTTCATTAAGAGCTAACTCCCACTAAAACAAAAATGTATGCTACCTAGTACTAATTGGAATCTCTTTTTCAGAAATATAGAGTAGGTATTAGTCACCTGTTACTCAGGAATCTTTTTCTTAATATGCTCTATTGATTAAAAGGCAATATATTTCAGAAGTTAAAGGATGGTCACAAACATGATCTAGAAATCTCTGGAAATTTAGTTTGGGTATTGAGTGCAGATCTGAAAATCAGATAAAATGCCTTTATTTGTATTTTACTAATTTACTACGTTGTCCTGAAATAATCTATTTTAAATATAAGGGAAATCTACTCACCTGAATAAATACAGTAAAGTATATAACTACTAGAGTAGCAGTGACGAACATTTTCTTCCTAGGAAAAAGAGACAGAGGAAGCAAAAATGCAAGTGAAAAACTTCCGGCTCCTCGAACACCACTGTAGAAAATGATGCACTGGTCCTTGATGGAGAAGGGGAAAGTCCGAAACTGGTTACTGATATAGAAGAGAGCAAATACGCCTAGAAAGGGGGAAATATGTATTAGAGCAGAGGATCATGAACGAGCAGAGATATAGAGCTAGTGAACTGAGGTTGTGTGTGCGTGCCCTGCAAACAATGTAGCCTAATTCCATCATACATCCATGATTGTCTATCCCAGGTAGAGTGTCTTTTATGGCTTTTCACTTTGTTAGTTGTGAGACAGTAGCACTTCAAGTGGGAATCTTCGCTATAGTTTCCTGGCATGTGTTGTGTGTATGTGTCTGCATTAGTTTGTTTAAATTAATAACATCTTGATTTTTTTAATGTAAGGTATATATTTTCTAATCTATATTCATAATTTTTGTCCTGCCTTTCAAACCTAGTCAAAGCAAGGGTATTGTTGAGTGGGTGGGGGGGATAAACGCATTCTTATCATCTCATATTCTCATTAAGTATCCAAAGGAGGTCTGTAATTTAAAAATGAGAGGGGTCCTCTTAGAGACTATGGTCTCTACAATCAAATCCTTTACTGTTGGCTTGTCCTTCTTGAGGTTCATTGCAAACAAGGAAGGAAGTTGGCAAAGGTTAGGGGGTGAGTGGGTGCTTCTTACTGCCAGTGAGCTTCTTAAACAGAAGGTTTAGGGTGGAAGAGCTTGCTGGAAACATAGAGGAGTTTTCTACCACATTGATTTTCATCCCCAAGTGGCTCACATAACCTAGGTACCACCAATGCAGTGGTGCCTGGTAGGAAAGGTCCTTTCACTAAAGCTCTGATAAATCAAGAGTTTCACTTAGAATAAAACTCTCCACATCCTTATGTACTTCTCGTCACACAGACTTGCCAGCAAGCATTATTTGATAATAGGCGCATGGATAGTGCAAAAGATAAGCAAATTTACTTTTTAAAATATTGTTGTGTTTGTCCTGGATCCTCTCCATGCCAGTCATGTGACCTTGAGTGAGGTTCTTAACCATTTCATGTCCTCAGACCCCTCATCTGCTTGATGGGGTAGCCATAGTTTTTCTCTCAGAATGTGAATGTAAGGATTAAATAAATTTAGCATCCATAAATAACGTAAGATGCAGCCTTTTACGTAACAAGCCTTCACGAGTGTGAACTACTATTAGCTGTGATGAGTCAGGGTAGGAAGAGAACAGGCTATGAGGGGGAGAACCGAATTCTAACACCTGGCTTTGTCAATTGCTGTGATGTGGCCAATTTTGTCACTGTTTTGGTGGTTTTTCCATCAATTTCCTCAACTGTAAGAGTATGGGGTTGATCTGGATCATGAAGGATTAACAATGTCGAGGTTCCTGCAATATAAATCCTCCTCTTCTAGTTAGTTTCTTTTCTTGTTGGCTGGGCTAAAGCTCTGTAATTTTACTCCCCTTGGGCATTCGCTCTCCTCCCCTGTAGATTCCCAGAGTATTAGAACTGAAAGGGAACTAAGAAATTTGTTCAAATCCGTCATTCTGTGATTGAGGAAGATGATTTTGAACCGTTAAATGTCTGTCCAAGATCAAACACTGGTTCGTAATAAGACCAGTGATTTGAGATAATAAACTTGTATCACAGCTTCCTCTATTCTCCCACAAGGAGCCCAACAACATATATATTCAGAGTTACTTATAGATATTTTCATATTTCTCTATTCTTGTTAATCTCCTCTAGAGCCTAAAACCCATCCTAAATGAATTTGGAATTAATTTGTTCAAGATAGGTTCTCAGTCATTTCGCCTAATTTCTCTTTGAGTAATTGGCTTGAAAATATGGATCAAAGTCATTTAACATAACGCTTCAAATATTAGTCGAGTCACTTAAAAATAGACTTGCTTGTAATCAAAAGGCAACACATATATTGTATGTCAGTGCTTAATGTTCTTTTCTGGCTCCTGAAAAATAAATGTACAAGATAAATCATCAACCACTAGTTCTCATTTTAAAAGATTAGTTACATTTTACAGGTGTGATGCCAGTTACACTCTAAAGTTGTTCTTACTAATTAATACAAAGCTCTTTTAAAAATATTCACTTCCTGATTTTTTTGTTTGCTATACATCACACATTCATGCACTCAACCCTCAAATAAAACCACCTATACTGTTTAGGGGGATATTTTCTATCACTATTTGTCTTCCATGGAATACAATTTGTGAGATCTCACTTATCCTATAGTGAAAGTGTAAATAAATGCCCACAGTTTATAATCCATATCTGATGTAAGGTGCGAGAGGATACAAATCTGCAAAGAAGTGAAGAGCAAGGGATATGTTGGTCTTAGAAACCAAAAACATTGGTGCAACTCCAAATAAAAGTAACAAACATGTATTTTCCATTGACTGAATTATATTTAAATAGGTAGTTGTGAAAGTTCTTTCTTCAATTAAATAAAATACTCCTTGCCCCGACTTTGCTTCAGTGCAGAACCTGATCAACCACTAATTACTTTGAGCTGACTGAGGGAAGAAACAGGAAAGATTCCTGCTCACAACCAGGTGCCTAGTCTACCCTAACCGGTAAAACCAGTTAGCATCTACTCAGTCCTCCAGTTTTTACATTGTAGAAGGGAATAAAAGAACTGAAATGCAGCAGGACCAGAGACTCTGGGGTCCTGCTGTCTCTTACTGATGGCTCTCCAGATTTGGCAGAAGGCCAGGGTGAAGCAGATGAAGGCCCAGTTCCACTCGTGATTCTTGCCCACGGTGGACACGCCCATGAAGATGAAGATCAAGGTCTCGCTGACACTGCTCAGCATCTTCATGAAGTACTTGATGGTCGTGTATGACGTCTGGGACACGTTTTCTTCCACGTACTTTTTCATTGTTACCGCGCAGGCTGTGATTCTATAAAAGGAGCAGAGTCGAGTCTCAGAGAAAATCTATGAGGTTTTCCCCCTCCACAAAACGCCCTCCCCACAGGCGATGCCACAGATGCATGAAGCCCTTGTTGACGCAGGAATATCTCCCTTATTCCCTTCTGTGGCTGCAGATTGTCCACAGATCGTCTTTCTCCCTCTTTTCCCTCCCTAAGGGATCTTTACAAGGTAAAGCCAAATGTGGTGGGAAGGTGGGCGTGGCACGGTGAAATAAAAGGACACGTAATTCCCATGGGCACACCCAATGCGGAATGTTTCTCTCTTGCCCTCTTCATGAAGAGTTTTCAGTCCCAACTCACACTCTACTTTACTCTGCCTTAAACCAAAATAACAGAATAATTCAGCAAGGTTCTCATTTCCTCCAACCCAACCATAAATGATCAAAACTTCTAAAGCAATGCAAGGTTCTCTTTTATTGGCTTTATTTCAAATATTTCTGCTCGAGAGCCATTAAGCAAGTATGGAAAAAAGAAAAAAGCTTGCCTTGTCTTAGAAGTTTTGGTCATTTTCCAGGTGGGAAAGTGACAGACGCCTGGAGTTTACACTATCACATTTAATTGAAAGAGGTATTTCTCTACAATAAAATTAAATGTATCAGCCTGAATAGCTGGAAAGAAAGATAATGCCATAGAGAAAACAACATGACCAGATATAATAAGCCATGCTGAGAAGCCTCATTCAAAGATAAACATCTCAAGGATACAAGGACATAAGGATACACATTTCAAAAATATTTTCATTAGAGCCAAGAAATGTAGATTTCTAGTCTGATCCCACCTGCCTAGTTTCATCCCACAATGAAGAGCCATGGCTGCATGATGTGGTTGGAGGGGCACAGAGGAAGGCAGAGCCCAGGAACGGCAGTCCTTCAGGCATGCCTCTTTTCAACTTTAAAATTAACTTTTCCACTTTGGGAGGCCAAGGTGAGTGGATCACAAAGTCGGAGATCGAGACCATCCTGGCTAACACAGTGAAACCCCGTCTCCACTAAAAATACAAAAACATTAGCCGGGCATGGTGGCGGGCACCTGTAGTCCCAGCTACTCAGGAGGTTGAGGCAGGAGAATGGCGTGAACCCGGGAGGCGGAACTCGCAGTGAGCAGAGATCGCGCCACTGCACTCCAGCCTAGGTGACAGAGAGAGACTCCGTCTCAAAACAAAAACAAAAACAAAAAAAACACTTTTCAAGGAAAAAACACACTACTGAGATGAGAATAAGTTTCCCCAGATCTTCTCTGTACCAGCTTTCCTGAGCCTTCTAAATTGAAGTGATAATTGCTATGCTTTCCTCAGGCAAATCACAAGAAGAAGACGACGAAGGCAAACATTGGGGAGAATGTTCGTTTGACAAAGAACCTGAATCAGGTTTTATAAAAGTTAAGAAGCGCCTAAATCCTGCAACACCTGGGAGGGTTAGCGTCATTAGTCAAGTCTTTCCCAGCTGCCCGGTTCACGTGATGGGGTCCTAAACTTTCTTTCTATTACTATGTGACTTGATCCTTGGTTTGTACTCACGCCAGGATGCCGGAGAGATAGAGGGTTTCAGCAGCTAAGTAAGACAAATAGCTGAACATGAAGACGATGAGTGGCTCAATTGCAGAGATATTCTGAGTGAAACGTGTGATAAACGCAGAGATAAATCCAAAAACGATGCCAAACAATACCCCTCCAAGCCCCACAATGACGAATCGGGCACATCCAGCCAAAATGTCCACAGGTTCTATGTCTTCAAATTTATGCATCTTTGTAAAGGCAATTAACATATTGTATAAGACCTAGACAAAAAGGAGAGAAAATAAATATGAATTATGAACAGGAACAGAAACTAGGAATACTTTGCGTGCCGATTCTCAGCTTTGTGTCTAGTTGAGTAATACACAAAAATAAATTACACAACAAAAAATACTAAGATGACTGTCTTTTAACTGTATTCCCAATAATTTAGATGTATTTGGTTTCACTGAATAAAAAGTGTAATACTCACAACTTGCAATCACTGAGCCCCTACTACGTGCTGGTCTCTTTGCTAAGCTTTCAGTGGCAATTAATTTATTGCCTCTAAACTCCAAATGTACCGTTCCGTTTGTGTTCTATAATAGACAGTGGAATTCCTTTAAGCATTTTTTTCTTTAAAGTGAGCACCTAGTTAAGCTCTGTCCGTAGAGGGCCTAGAAAGGACATTCAGGGCCGGGCGCGGTGGCTCACACCTGTAATCCCAGCACTTTGGGAGGCCGAGACGGGCGGATCACGAGGTCAGGAGTTCGAGACCATCCTGGCTAACACGGTGAAACCCCGTCTCTACTAAAAATACAAAAAAATTAGCCGGGCATGGTGGCGGGCACCTGTAGTCCCAGCTACTCGGGAGGCTGAGGCAGGAGAATGGCGGGAACCCGGGAGGCGGAGCTTGCAGTGAGCTGAGATCCGGCCACTGCACTCCAGCCTGGGCAACAGGGCGAGACTCCGTCTCAAAAAAAAAAAAAGAAAAAAAGAAAGAAAGGACATTCAGGTGCAGGCGGACGGGCCTTCCTGCAGTTTTTCTGGGGCCTGTGGGGAGAGTCAGCCATGTGGGTGTGAGGAACTCCAGCGGATCCTGCCTGAGCCACAGGCCCTGAAAGTAATCCCTCTGCAACCCTACAGCTTCGGCCTGGCCAAAACCTGTCTGCAAAAAAACCCGGCACGGCCCACGTGCAACATGTCTGTGGCCCAGCGCTCCCAGCAGCCCACGCTCTGAGAGCCTTCTCCCCCTTCCCCGATGCAGCCTGCTCTTTTGAAGATTCTCTGCCATCTTCCAAGCGCAGGCTCCCACTGCAGCCCCGCACAGGGATTGCTGACTGATGTCTGGCCCTGCCTGCCTTCCAGAGGGTGGTCGATTGCTTGCCCAGCAACTCCAGACCAGCTCCAGTCTGGCTAAAGCAGCCAACTTCTCTGCTACCCAGTGGCCAGTCCACACCTTTTCCAGTAAGAGGTAAACCCTTCCCAAGCGTGTCCTTCCTTGGGTGCCCTCCCTCAGTCCTAGGGTACATAGAGAATTTCCTTATATCTTATAGTTATGCCTTTATTATAGTTAATACATTTTATAATGCATTCACATTTTTTATTTAACCTATCATGTGGTGTATCTTACCTGATTGCACCTAGACTGTTATTCCCTCCATACACATCATTTCATCAAATCCCCCAAACGACTCTAGCCTATGTGACACACTCTCTGAATTTTCCCATTATTTCTCTATTTATTTCAACGTTATTTTGAAGCTGCAGAGATCTACTTATCACTGTTTCATGCCACTCCATAGCCCAGAACTATGATCTAGCTCCTGCAAAGCGGCAGCAGGTGTACAGGTAATGAGACACAGAGAAGAGCTGAACGAAGATCTCTGCAGAAATGAAGACCTTTGGGAATATCAGCCCCTGAAGAGTCCTGCGAAACCACAGTACATGCCTCTGAGCCTCTATCTACACCAGGAAAATTGCAAAAATTCAGAGCAGAGGGCGGAAGCTAAAACTCCAGGAAATCGTGGCCATGATGGTGTTCTGCGTGCTTCAGAGGCACAGATGGGCTGCATGGACCTTCTAGAACTGAAGATGCCCCCTCACCTTCACAGTTGGCTCTCATGTCCCCTCTGGCTGTGGCCCCCATGCTGCACCTTGCCAGACTCGCCCAGGCCCTCTGCTTGACTCTGATCTCTCCAAGATGGGAATCATCTTCCTTACAGGGACACTCGGTGTCACCACTGATATCCAGTGTGGCCTGACAGCCTTTGGGTTCTGGCTTTGGGTTCTGGCTTTGGCTTCATCCTCAGGACTCACCAGAACCGCACACTGCATTGTGTAAACACTGACCCCTTGCTGTGGTCTGCAGCCTACAGGAATTCATTCCTCCTCCAGCCCCTTTCCTAGTCCTGGCCACTCCAGGTCGTCTGTAAGCCCGACCTCTACTGATTCCCTCTAATATCACCTTCATGATAAAAGATTGTTGTTTTTGGCCAGGGGTGGTGGCTCATGCCTGTAATCCCAGCACTTTGGGAGGCCAAGACATGTGGATCACCTGAGGTCAGAAGTTCGAGACTAGCCTTGCCAACATGGTGAAACCCCATCTCTACTAAAAATACAAAAAATTAGGCAGGGCACCGTGGCTCACACCTGTAATCCTAGCACTTTTCGGGGCCAAGGCAGGCAGATTGCCTGAGCTCAGGAGTTCGAGACCAACTTGGGCAACATGGTGAAACCCCATCTCTATTGAAATACAAAAAATTAGCCAGGCATGGCAGTGTGCGTCTGTAGTCCCAGCTACTTAGGAGGCTGAGGCAGGAGAATTGCGTGAACCTGGGAAGTGAAGCTTGCAGTAAGCCGAGACCACGCCAATGCACTCCAGCCTGGGTGATAAGAGCGAAACTCAACCTTATTTAAGAAAAAAAAAAAATGTTTTCTCACAGAGAGGTTGGCAGTAAATGATTGATCATGTGCAAAAGTTGTCCCTAGGCAGCTGTCTTGTTTTGTTCATAATCATGAACAGTTGGAGTGCATCGATGACAAAGGCCTTCTCTCCTTGCTCTCCCTTCTAAAGAATGCCTTAGTTTGTTTGAGGGAGGCTGTCCTCTAGGGACAGATAGATGCAAAAGCAGCAGGAGGTTATGGGATGGACATATTTGTGCTGCAGTCACCATGTAACAGTACACTTTTTGCTACTCCCTTATGTGCGGATATCAAACATCATACAGAGTGGCTCTGGGCTTGGGAATGTGACCTGGCAGTGAGGGGCATGCCTCGAAGTAGCTCCAGTGCCATCAATCCTCATCTAGGATGCTTCATTGCCAATGTACTTTGTTGACAGGGGAGGGCACACAAGGAGGTTGCACAGTGGCCCTCTGCTAATGACTTTTTGGTCCACAAGCACCTCTACAATAAGGTTCTGTTACCTTGACTCCTGTATGACTCCCCTAGGGATGCTACGAGAAAGTCCCACAAGCTGGGTGGCTTGAATTAACAAAAATGTATCCTCTCACTGTTGTGGAGTCTAAAAGTCCAGACTCGAGATGTTGGCAGGGCCATGCTCCCTGAAGGCATTAGGGGAAGGCCCTTCCTTGCCTCTTACAAGCTTCCTCTGGTGTCTGCCAGCAGTCCTCACTGTTCCTAGGTTTGTGAGTGCATCACTCCAGTCCCTGCCTGCATCTTCACCTGGTCTTCTCTGTGTGTCTCCTCTGTGTCATATCACCTTCTTATAAGGACACCAGGCATTGGATTAGGGTCCACCATAGTCCAGTGTGAGCTCGCCTTCAATAAGGATAACTGTAAAGACACTGTTTCCAATTAGGGTCCCATCCTGAGGTTCCAGGTGGGCATGGATCTTTGAGGGGACACTATTACACCCAGTACAGCTTTTATAAACAAAATGACCATGCTGTGAAATTAACTTGTATTACAGACTGGAAGTTTTCGTTATAAATCTCTCAGAGCACAGATAATTTTATTTTGAATTTTACAAGGTCTTAAACTGTGGCTTGTTCCCCAAATGGTTCAATCACGTTTCTTAAGAGAGCCTAGGATGCAGGTATTGAGTGTATGGATTAGTGCTCACTGCTCAATGTAATAAGTAACCAGTCGCCAATAAGCACAGTTAGGTAAGGAAATGTGGGCAGAAGGTTATAATAGGCTTGCCGTCTTCCCTCAAACATAAGTTTCTAGTGTATTCTCTGGGAGGAGAGGAAGCTGGGGAAGATGAAGAAGAATCAGAAAGCTTGGTGCCAATGGGTCCAAGCAAGTATATGCACAGCATACAGACACACACAATAGACACACACACAACAGACACACAACAGACACACAAGCAACAGACACATGCAACAAACACACAGACACACACACATACCATGGACATTGTGAATTTCTGATATTAGGAAAGGAATTACTTAAAAAGAGAAAGACTTGCAGAAAGCTTAAACTGAATTTGGTTAAGAATATACATGATAAAGTGTAGAAATGTCCAGAAACAAAAAAAAACAAAGGAAAAGCCCCACAAATGTCCCACAATCCCTCCTAGAGAAAACTACTACAGATATATATTTTCTAATTCTATCTGTCTCTCTATCTATCTGTCTGTCTATCTGCCTATCTATCTATCTATCTATCTATCTATCTATCTATCTATCTATCATCTATCCATCTGCTGTCTATCATCCACCTCTCTATCTGGGGCAGTCGGAGCCCCTCAGATCTCTAACTGCAGGGATTCCCATCTGCCATTCTCAGCTAAGGCCGGAGCTTAGCAGGGACACTGAGATAGGCCCCCATCTGGAAGGAAAAGGACTCCTTGGATACGTGTTTTAGTCTGCGGTTCCTGATGAGCTTGATAAAGTCTCTAAGAAATGCAGTAAAGACAGTCCCATCCAGCTTCTGTCCTTCCCTCTCTCCTTCCCCTGGAATCACTCTGCACGGTGACCTGAGGGCTCTCCCATCCCCCTGGGCTTCTTCCCCATTTTCCCTCACAGAAGTTTCTCTAGTAAAACTCTTATACGTTTAATGCACTCTGAGTGTCTAATCCATAACGGACCTGGACAACATCTATCGGTCTGTTTGTGTATCAATCATACTTTACAAAACTGTTAAAATCCTGGTCTATTTTATTTAAACAAACTGAAGCCATGCTTTAAGAAAACCTGGGCTGAGTATTTGAAACAAAATGTGACTGATGATTTTGAATGAATCCAAAAGAATCTTAGTGGTTGTGTCTCGACTCGGTGAGTTTGTTTAGTCCAACTTCACTTTCTGCCACATA